TAGCTTATTTAAGACACATTCAATGATTTATTTCCTCCACCAGTCTTCATGCACGAGTCCCTCCAAACTTATATAAAAAAGAAGGTAAAATGACTAAATTGAACAAAACACTACAGTATAGGGACCTCATAGGTACTTTGACCCTTTTTTTTTGTTTCAATTTTTTCTTTTACATATTTAATTAATTAAATATCATGCATTATATTTAATAATGTTATTTAATGACATTAAAATTAGAAAAAAATTGCATCTTTGGTTCCTAAGTTATTCTCAAGTTCCGACTTAATTCTTGAGTTATTTCCATATCTATTTTTAGTCTCTATGTTATGAGCGAAGTGATGAGTTTGCTCTGTGATCTTGTATTCCGTCTACAACTAAAGGAAAACTTAAAAACAATTAAATAATGCAAGGATAACATATGAATTTCAAATTATAATCCCCTTCTTATGTTGAAACCCATCTCTGCATCAGTATTTGTGTTCTTACAGACTGCGAAATCGAATGTCTTCATCTTCCCAGCACTTGCATCGAATTTCGTCCACTTCAAAGCTGAAAAATCCATAGGTAAGTTGTTTCCCTATTTTATATGTTCAATAAAATAAACAATATTTGTAGTATTGATAAACTAATTTAGCCATTATTTATAGGATATCATCTCTCTTAGTTGTGGTACTTCATTTTAACCCGATTTTGGAGATACTTTTTTATGTAAATGTGATGATTTATTAACCATGAAAATGTCATGAGTTATGCTAATCCAAGAAAAAGATTCCAAGCTTGTCCGCGTTATGGAGTGAGTTTTTTTTATTTGTTAAAAAGTTGTAATCTAAGTTGTTTTTTTTTATAAATAGAATTGAAATATTGAAATTTGATTTTTTTTTTTAACGAAAGTTGTGGAGTATTTAGATGGGTTGATATGGATGTTTATAACTGTGTTGTGGTAATCATACGAGGGTTATTAAAACGGCTAGACAAGTGGGAGATTGATTTGTGCACAACAATATTTTATTCTTGAAGACATTGTAGGATTTCTTTTCCAAACCAGTCACATAGTAAGATTTATTTGTTGATTACATTGAAGATTTATGGCTTTTGTCGATTTGGGGAAAAATATTTGGGCTAAGGGTGAAATATATTGCATACAAGTTTTATTTTGGAATTTTAATTTTTTATTTTACACCTAGAATTAACTTTGTCAACGCACCACTAACGTTAGGGGCCAAATTCACCACTTCACTCATAACCGAGGAACTAAAAATTGATATTGTAATAATTCCCTGAGTCATTACTATGGTTATAACTCAGGGACTGTTTTTTGTTTTTTATTTTTTATTTATAGATAATCTTAATGAAATGTTATCTAATCGAGTAGAAAGTTTCGGTAAAATATATATAATATCTTAAAGAATAAAGACTTAAGCCAAGCCGCAAGCTAGCGCCCCAACCCTAAAGGGGATGTTTGGTTAGATGGAAAAGTTCTTTCATGAAAATTGTTTTCTTTATACCATCTTCAACCCAAAACACTAAATTTCGCATCAAAAGGAATATTTTTTTTTGAAAGTTACTGGCTTTCTTACATTACTTTTTTTTTTTTTTTTTTTTGTTATCTCCAACTCATTTACACAAAATTCTGCACCAAATTTTATTTAATCTCTAATCCATTTACACCAAATTATATTCATACACTAAAATAATTGGTATTATTATAATTTAAAACTTTAATTTTGTTTACTTTAATTATTTTAATATAAAAATAATTTTGATATAAATAATGATATTTTAAAATAAAATTTATGTTTTTATGTATTTCAATTTTTAATTATTTTGTAGTCGATATTGATCTTGTTTTAAACGTCTCAATGAGATCTTTAAATCTTTATAAAAATTTAAAAGAAAAAAATAGCAAAAAAAATTTAAAAAGTTCAACACCAAAATGGTGTAAATGAATAGTGTTACACCATATTTGGTGTAACACTATTCACTTACACCATTTTGGTGTCTTCATTGGAGCATGGTTACACCAAATTGGTATTCTGGTGCTTTCATTGGAGATGACCTTAGGCCATCTCCAACGTGACTGCATATCAACAAAATGACATATAATTTGGCGGAAAGAGGCTCCAATGGAGCGGCAAAACGCCAAAACATTTGGCGATGGTGAACAGTGCTGTGCCATATATGGCGTGACACTGTTCATCCACGGCATTTCGTGAACATCTTTTTTATTCCTCTTTTGCCCCTGCTTTTATTTATTAATTTCTTTCATATCCTTTATTTTGTTTGTATGTTTTATATATTTTGTTAAATACTTAAACATAAATGTTATATTATTATAAATAAATTATATCATTTGAAAGATCGCATCAAGACGATTAAAACAAGACTAATATTGAATATAGATTAATTACAAATTAAAATAAATTAAACATAACAACAACACAAAAATAATATTACTAAAAATTTATTATTTACACTAACAATTATATTTTGTATTAAACTAATTAAATTTGAACTAATAAAAATTTAAAATTAGAGAAAACATATTATTTTAATGTAGAATAACATTTGACTTAAAAATTTAGTGTTTTGGTGTAATGGGTTGGAGATGAATAAAATTTGGTGTAGAGAATGTTCTCTTTGATGTGACATTTGGTGGAGATTTTTGGTGTTAATAGGTTGGAGATGCTCTTAGGGCATCTCCAACCCAATTCACACCAAAACACCAAATTTCTTTCCCAAATGTCACATCAGAAAGAATATTCTCACATCAAATTTTATTCAATCTCCAACCCATTAACACTAAAACACCAAAACACCAAATTTCTACACTAAAATAATTTGATTTCTCAATTATTACTTCGAATTTAATTAGTTTAATATAACTTAGTTCGAACTTAATTAGTTTAATATAAAATATAACTTGTGATGTAAATAATAATTTTTATTAACATTAAATTTTTTATAACATTAATTATTTAAAAAAATTGAATTTATTGAAAATTTAATTTATTTCACAATAATAATATAGTATAAAATTTAATTTTTATTATTATGTTCTAGTTATGTTTAATGTATTTAAAATTTTAATTAATATATATTCAATATTAGTCTTGTTTCGATCGTCGATCTTTCAAATGATATAATTTATATTTAATAATACAAACTTTAAATATAAGTATTTAACAAAACAAAAAATTACATATAAAACAATTAAATGATATATTTGAATTTATCCAAAAAAAAAAAAACAAGGGCAAAATGGTAAGTTTCCCTCCCTTTTATATTTGGCCTAGATGAACAGTGCCGCGCCATATATGGCGCAGCACTGTTCATTATTGCCAAAAAATATGGCGAGATGGCGTAATGGCGCTGCACATTGGAGAACAAGAATTTGGCAAAATGGTGGGATAGCGCTTAAATTTGCAGCCGTTGGAGTTGCTCTTAGAGCATCCATATCAAGAGTTATTTGGAGAGGGGAGGCGGGGGGGGGGGGGGGGGGGGGGCTAGAATAGTACCTGCTGATATGGATAAGAGAACACACGAGAGAGAAAAATGAGATTCTTTCGCAAGAGAGAGTTATTTGTGGGCTCCACTTGGAGAAAGCAAAAACAAGAAAAAGAGGGAGCTTTGCGCGTTTTGCGCACAATAGAAGCCCACACGGTCGTGTGTATTGCACGCGCGCGGTGGCGTGTTAGGCGCACCTGACAATCTCTTTTCATATTGTTTTTTTTTTTTTTTTTAAATAAGTTTTGCTTTACTTTTTTTTCTCCCCCATCCATTATTCTCTTACCTAATCACACTTACAAAAATTACTCAAAAACTACAAAATATCTCCACTATTATATATGCTCTTAGAGTGGAGGAAAATATTATTTTTTTGGAATAAGGTTCAAATTGGCCACTGAACGTAACCTGAAAATGCAATTAGGCCACTGAACGAAAAAAAAGTGCAATTAGGCCATTGAACATTCAAAAAATGTGCAATTAGGCCACTGAACTCTCCAAACGTATGCAATTTTACCGGATAGCAGGTTATCATCAATTTTAGCAGGTTACCTACTTACGTGGCAGCTTAGTTGGCATTTTTAATAATTTTTAATAATTAATTTTAATAATAAATTTTATAAAAAATTGGAAAAAATTAAATAAAAAATAAAATAAAGTCGTTTTTATTTTTTAAAATTTTTTTTAATAAAAAGTTATTATTAAAATTTATTAAAAATTAATTAAAATTTATTAAAAATGCCAACTCAGCTGCCACGTAAGCAGATAACCTGCTAAAATTGAGGGTAACCTGCTATCAGGTGAAATTGCACATTTTTGGAGTGTTCAGTGGCCTAATTACACTTTTTTTCGTTCAGTGGCCTAATTGCACTTTCAGATTACGTTCAGTGGCCAATTTGAACCTTATTCCTATTTTTTTTTTTTTTGTGTTTAGTTTATGGAATTCATTTTTCATTGAAAAATGAATTCCTCACATTTAAGGAAGATGGAAAGACAAATTGATATGATTTGTCGATTTGACTATTTTTTTTCTTCTGTTCTTTTTTAAATTATTATTACTTTTATTAATTTATTGGGGGTGTATATATATTTTTATACTCGTTATTTTTTACAATTTTAAGTTAAATCCATCAACATTTTAGTAATTCTTTTTCATCAAACAATCAATAAAATTCATCTTCCTAATAATTGAATTTCAATTCCATTTCTCCTAAAATATTTTCCACAAACCAAATAAGCCCTAATTCTTACAGTTCTGCCCGTCTGCCGTCTCCTTATCTGCACTTTGTCTTTGTGTTTCTGTCCGTCTGTCACCAAGCACCGGCACCAGGCTACCAGCCCACGACTGTCGTCCTCCGCGCCTCTGCTCCATCCTGCTGCCCCACGCCGCCGGCCGCCACCGTCGCGGACCACGCCACCACTGCTCAGCCTGTGCTCCACTCCGCCACTTCGCAGGTAAGCCACCGTCGCACGCTCTAGTTTTTATTTTTTTTTATAAATATAATATAATGTTCTTATTGCTTCCCCATCTTCTGATAGTTTGTGCAGTGGTTTGTTTTGTAAAATTTAGGAAGTTCTCAAATCTCAAGTGTTCAATGTCGAAGATCCAAATAGTATACCATACGTACTGTTTATGTTAGTATTATTTAATTGAGGTGAATATCTGCTAAAACATATTGCTCTGAAAGTATGTTACTTAAAGAAGAAAAACTAAGCTAATGATTTTCACATTTGAGTGAGTGAGTGAGAATGCAACTTATATTTGGATGTATAAACACCCTCACATTGTATTTTTTTCTTAGGCATCACTGTATTTTTGGACTTTGCCTTTATGAGTATTTCAGATCATGTGCTTACTGGGATTTAATTGCAAGAAATGCAGTTTGAGCTGCAAAAACATACTTTAACTCTAGTGTATGTTTAAAACAACTTTGTTAATTGAACAGACATAAAATAAGAACTTCTCGTCCTCGACTGCCTTCTCGGAGTGCTCTCCACCATTTCAGTGGGATAGAATGCAGTTCCTCGTAATGCCTTCCTCATCTGGCTACCTTCAACTTTCTTCAAACCCTAAATTCACCCACGGTTTTTCGCTAGATTACACCAAGAGCCCTTCATGTGCTCCCAGGAAGAAGACGACTATTATAAGTTGCCTCTCGACTCAGACCAAAAGAAAGTCGGGTTCAGCGAGCCGGAGCCCATCTTCGGAGGCCGAGGAGCTCGTTGCTCAAATGATGAACAACTTCACGGACAAGAAGCCTTTGGTGGCCACTCTGAACAAGTACGTGAAAATGGTGCGTACAGAGCACTGTTTCTTGCTCTTTGAAGAGCTCGGCAAGAGTGACAAATGGCTTCAATGCCTTGAGGTTAGATCCCACCCTCCCCTTATTTACAGATATGAAGGTTAATTTCTGAAATATCTGAATATTTGAGGTTAATTTCTTGCCAATTGTTCAATTATTTAATACTCCGTGTGTAAAGTTATCATCTTGATTCTTGAGTAGTGATGAATTGAAAGTGTAATGGTTTGAGGATTGTATTCAGTTTAGATGTGATATATTAGGTATTCAGATGGATGCAACGGCAACGGTGGTATATAGCTGACAATGGGGTTTACTCAAAATTGATATCAGTTATGGGGAGGAAAGGGCAGACCCGAATGGCAATGTGGTTATTTTCCGAGATGCGTAATAGTGGGTGTAGGCCAGATACCTCAGTGTACAATTCGCTTATCTCGGCCCATCTCCATTCCAAGGATAAGCTCAAGGCCTTGGCGAAGGCGGTTGGGTACTTTGATAAGATGAAAGGGATGGAAAGATGTATGCCCAATGTTGTTACTTATAACATTCTTTTGAGAGCTTTTGCTCAGGCAGGGGATGTTGAAAAGGTGAATGATTTGTTCAAAGATCTTGAAGAGAGTGTTGTTACGCCCGATATCTTTACATTTAACGGTGTGATGGATGCCTATGGGAAAAATGGGATGATCAAGGAGATGGAGTCTGTGCTCACTCGGATGAAGAGGAATAAGCTGAAAGCAGATATCATTACGTTTAATTTGTTGATCGATGCGTATGGGAGGAAGCAAGAATTCGAAAAGATGGAACAGGTTTTTAAGAGCTTGTTGCGTTCAAAGGAGAAGCCAACTACTCCTACGTTTAATTCAATGATTACAAATTATGGAAAAGCACGGCTCAGGGATAAGGCAGAAGGGATTTTCCAGAAGATGACTGATATGGGGTACAAGCCAAGTTACATCACGTATGAATGTCTCATTATGACATATGGGCGTTGTGACTCTGTCTCAAGGGCAAGAGATATATTTGATCAAATGGTTGAAACGGAAAAGGAAAAGAAGGTTTCAACTCTAAACTCAATGCTTGATGTGTATTGCATGAATGGTTTAACTATGGAAGCGCATATGCTGTTTGAGAGCATGCATCATTCTAAGATCTTCCCAATTGACTCTTCAACATATAAGCTTCTATACAAGGCATACACTAAAGCAGATATGAAAGGGCTGGTAGAGAAATTGTTGAAATATATGGATGGAGATGGCATCATCCCTAATAAGAGGTTTTTCCTGGATGCACTGGGGGCTTTCAGGTCTTCAACTTCAAGCCAAAAGTCCACTGATAAGAGTATTCAGTCAAGAACACAGGCATCAAGGGCAAGGAATTAGTTGTTGGGAATCGTTGTCTGGAGTTGTTGGGAATGGTTAGATTTCTGGAGGATCCTGAGCAGTACAAGACTTGTGAAATGATTGAACATATAGATTCATCAACACAGAGGTAAAGGTGTAAAGCTTTTGAATATTTTGATGATGATCTGAATAGTTACCCTTTTTGGGTTAGAGGAGGTTATTAACTTAAGCTGGGATTATACTTCTTCTCAGGTTGGCAAAGAGAAACAGAGATTTGAGTTTGATGATTTTGAAGGAGTTGCTCCAGAGTTAATTTATGAGGTTCCACAATCTTGCATTTCTCTTGTAGAATATGTGAAATATGTCCATAAATCGCATAGGCAAAATTTTGTTTCATTAAACTCTGCTTTGGTTATATACTATTAACAGTTGCCACTGTCTTTGCCTGTCACACTGTGTCAACTTATAAGCATTTTGATTTGGTCGGACCATCTAAACTCTGTACGGCAGGGTTAATTTTAAAGTTAATAGCTGATTTTAGCTTTTAAATAAGAAGCTGGCAACTTTGATTGGTAAATGGGTAAAAGCTTTTAAAAAGAGAGTTTATTAATAAGCCACACAAGCTTTGTTTGGTAGTTGAAAAACCCTTAAAATAATTCCATCAAATTTATATATGCTTTTGTTCTGTGTTTGTTCTTAATTTAGATTGATTGCCGCTATGAATATTTCTTGTAGTGGCTGCCTAAGAGCTTTTGCTTTGCACTGGGCTTATGAGCTTTAGACACATCCCGGAATGATGCTTATGCAGTTATGCTATATATATATATATATATATATATATATATATATATATATATATATATATATATATATATATCCTGCTGTTAACAAATTATATGGTATAAGATATACTTGTGTTCTTTATTTAAAAAAAAAAAATACTTGTGTTCTTAATTATATGGATTTTTACGGTTTTCAAAAAAAAAAATGGATTTTTACGTTTTCTCATTCCATACCCTTGTATATGTGCTGTTCTTAAACAACTTACTGTACTCAAACTTGGGTATATGTTTGTGTTGTGGTTAACCTGATATTATTATCATCAACGCTTCAATTTCCTGCCACTCCACTTTCAGGGAAACAGAAAAATCACAAGCTTGCCATTGTATTTGGTTCAAGCCTTGGGTGTACCTGTATACTAATCCTTGGAATCAGGCTGTTTCTATGGTAGGAGCAGCAAATGTTGTATGATGGTAAGGGTATGTACACCGAAATTCTGGTTGATGACATGCTTGTAACATCTGTGTGTGTCTGTGACATTCAGTGGACTGATTGGAAGATTTCTTGTTTGAAACCATTACAGTACTATGCATTCCTTTTTCCTTGTCATAGAATGATTGTTAATGAATAGATTGCAGTTTTAGTTGAAGAGTTGTTTGTTGCAGTTTTAGTTGTTTCTTCTGTGTTGCAAATCAATTATTTCCTTCACTACATAATACGTATCTTCACATTTTATTGATTTTCTTGGTTGTCCTTGTATTGTATTTTGATATAGTTTGCGTTTTCTCCATGTATATATATATATATATATATATATATATATATATATATATATATATAGAGGGCTGCACTCCTATACGAACAAGCTCCCAGGAATGAACTACGAATGGATCAACGCCATCCGTCATCTAAAATCAGCGGCTGAACTACTTCCTAAGACACAGTGGCAAACTTGTAATTTGACAACAAAATTGCATCAAGTAGGACGCGCGAAGGGCATTATCGACAAAACTTATGCTAAAAAAGGTGAAGACTGTCTGTTTCCTTTCAAAACCCTCCCGCGACGATGACAACAAAGGAAAAAAACTCTTAAAAACGCAATTTTTTGCTACAAACACTCTGATTTCTTTGATTTCACTTCAAAAAATGGACGAACAACAAAACCCAGTGGTTCGTGACACAAAAACACTAACTAAAAGAGGTAAAAAAAAAATTATATTTATTGTTTCTTTTGCATTTTATTGATAATATTTGCTATAATGCTACAATGTGCAAGTATTTTCGACAAATTGCGAAGAGAATAAACTATTTTGCCATATCCAAAACCCTAAGCAACATGTAAACCAATTGATCACTTTGCATGCTGACAAATAATAATATTCTGAAACAATCAGGCTGGGAAAAGTGTCAAGTAGTTAACGTATATGCATGCATTTGTGTTTACTGCACTCGAAATGTCTATAACAAATTCGGATACCTATTCGTGCAAGTATTTTAAGCTATATGTGCAAGTAATCCTCTGATTTTGTGCACTTAGAGTTGCGTGCCTATTCTGTTAGTTAATAAGTATTCTGAAACAATTTTGATGTATTGTTGCATTTAGTTTTCAACATAAGTGCACATAAAATGACAATACTAACTACGCAATTACATATACTTATGTCTTAATATAGAACAATCATATTTAACTATGAGAGTGATTATATTACACTGAGTTAAACATTTGAAAAAAATATGTGCATGTAACATTTATGCAAAATGTAATTTGCAATTATTTTATACTATGTATGCAGATAATGTTTTCTATTTTTGCAATTAGAATTGCCTACCTTAATTGTCATTTAAAAATAATTCTGCAACAACCAATGTTGCAAAAAACGCTAGGCGCCAAGGGGGCGCCTAGCGCCTAGGGCGCCGATTATTTTTTATTATTTTTTTTAATTAAAAAAAATTTTAAAATAAAAAATTTTCAAAATTTAGTACTAAAATATAAGGTTTCCATAGTTATTTCTTAGAAACTATTTACAAAAGTGGTTGTAAAATTGTTCAAAAGATTGTTTAAACCATCTAAATACATAAAAAACTAAAATTAAGAGCTAAAGAAGCATTTTTTTGAGAAATTAGTGGACTAAACCGCCTTCGGCCGTTTGCGGTGTATAGATCTCGAAAAAATACGCGATTTGAAAAAAAAAATTGTCCAAATCGAACAACCGAGTCAAAAGTTATGCCTTCCGAAAGTTTTCTGACATTTAAAAAAAAAAAAAAAATTCGCGAACCGGCCGGTTAGGCGGTCTAGGCGGCCGCCTAGCCGGCCGCGGAGGAGGCCGCCGAGGCCATTCCTCGCGGCGACCTCCTACCGCCTAGCGCCTAGGCGCGATTTTTGCAACCTTGGCAACAACTTTACTCTACTGATGAATATCGAGATGTCAATAGAAATGCACATAATATTACAAACCTACCTTTGTAATTACTTTAGTTTATACGTGAAAGTAATATTTTCTATTAGGAAAAGTAACACTCACACAGGGAAAAAGAGATACACAAAAGGGACAAGAAAGTCTAAACGACAAGCAAAGAATCAAAGCAACTGGTATTAGTTCATGACTCACCTGATTATGACTTGGCAGAAAGTGAACAACCAACTGGTATATCTTAACCAGAATCTCAACTTGAAGAATCCCAAACGGAAGAATCTGAACAATAAGAACCCCAATCGGAAGAATCTGAACAAGAAGAACTCCAACCTGAAGAATCTGAACAAGAAGAATCCCAACCTGAACACAATGGATCCATGGAGGGTTCCGAACATGAAGAAAGCCAACCTGTTCAGGAAACAAAGATAGAGACAACAGATAAAACATACAATGTTGTTACTTACCCATCCTTGACAACAAGGACAACGCCATACCAACTGACCAAAGCTTTTGGGCAATTCAATGATACACAATTGCAAAGTGTAAAAGAGATGGGTTTTGAGCACCTACTTGATCAACGAATTTCAAAAGTTCTTAGCAAAATGGGATGGTGACTTCTAAACAACTTTGACCCACACAACTATTGTTTACATGTGAAGGATGGAAATGAACTGTACATTACAGAGAAGGATATAGTCTAAACACTGGGATTTCTTCAGGGGAGTATCAAAATTGAGAGAAGAACTAAAGGAGAAGAAAAGAATACATTACTTGAGGACTGGAAGACAATATTAGGCAGAAATGATCTGAATATAACACCACAACAGTTGTGTAAAGCAATGCTAACTTGCAAGGATGGCGGAGAATGGTTTAAACGTCATCTTGCCATACTGATAACAACCATGTTTGTAGAGAGCACTCCACTGGGTATGTCAACACATATCTGATCAAGAACTTTGCAAATGTGAAAGATATTAGTGATCTCAACTGGTATGAATATGTACTTAAAGCACTGGTCAGCAGCAAAGTTTAATGGGTGAAGAATATATCACAAAAGTTCATTGGCCCTATACTATTCCGGGCAATAAGTTGCTTTAATAATGAGAAAAATAAATAAGAATGATTGTTATATCAAAACTAAACATTATTTTATACATTTTGCACGTTTTTTTTTTTTTTTATGTCGACAGAGTAGTGATTTACAACATATCAGTACCTAGGGCGTTACCCGCCTTCAAGGGATAGGACACACATCTACTGAACCAAAGGAAAAAGGCTAAGATTTGTTCAGGTGGCTTCGGCTATGGATACATTGATGAACCACAGGAGGAACTCCTGCAGCTGACTGAAGGAAAGAAATCAGAAGAAGATGAAGAAAACCTGCAGGTAAAGAGTAATATTGTTATGTTGTGCAACTAGATTAAGTTATATGTGCATGAAGTTATATGTATTAGTGCACATAAAATTTTGAAATCATACAATATTACTAAAAGGTTCACTAGTTAACAAAATACATCCTTGTACATGGTTAATACTTCTTGTGTGCAGAAATGATACATACCACATCAATATAATGTTACAAAAGTGATAAAATGTTAATAGTGCCTAGTGTGCAAGTAATTTATATTATATATATATATATGCATGTATACCTTCGAATTTGTGCACTTAGCATATTTCTATATGTGTATCATTATTCTATTAACACATGCTTTTACTAATTGCAAAATCATATATGTACTGTACAAAAAAAAAAAAAAAAAAAGAATTATATGCACAAATTTATACAAAAGATAAGACTTCTAGCAAAAACAATGTTTGAAGTGATAAAAATATCACAAGAGGCACCAGAGCGTACACATGAAGATGATGATTTCAAACAAATGGTGAAATCTACACAAAATTGCTGGGAATTCTGAACCCTGAGACAACATTTCTAATCTCAGGGTTCGGAATTTCCAGCAATTTCTGTGCAGATTCCACCATTTGTTTGAAATCCTCATCTTCATGTGTACGCCCTGGTGCCTCTTGTGCCATTTTCATCACTTCAAACATTGTTTTTGCTAGAAGTTTTATCTTTTGTGCAAATATGTGCATATAATTCTTTTTTGTTTGTTTGTTTGTTTGTTTGTTTGCAGTACAAATGTGATTTTGCAGTTAGCAAAAGCATGTGTTAATAGAATAATGATACACATATAGAAATATGCTGAGTGCACAAATTTAAAGGTATACATACATATATAAAATATAAATTACTTGCACACTACGCACTATTAACATTTTATCACTTTTCTAACATTATATTGATGTGATATGTATCATTTCTGCACACAAGAAGTATTAACCATGTACAAGGATGTATTTAGCTAACTAGTGAACCTTTTAGTAATATTGTATGATTTCAAAATTTTATGTGCACTAATACATATAACTTCATGCACATATAACTTAATCTAGTTGCACAACATAACAATATTACTCTTTACCTGCAGGTTTTCTTCATCTTCTTCTGATTTCTTTCCTTCAGTCAGTTGCAGGAGTTCCTCCTGTGGTTCATCAATGTATCCATAGCCAAAGCCACCTCAACTAATCTTAGCCTTTTTCCTTTGGTTCAGTAGATGTGTGTGTCCTATCCCTTGAAGGTTGATAACGCCCTAGGTACTGATATGTTGTAAATCACTACTCTGTCAAAACGTGTAAAATGTATAAAATAATGTTTAATTTTGATATAATAATCATTCTTATTTATTTTTCTCATTCTTAAAGCAACTTATTACCCAGAATAGTATAGGGCCAATGAACTTTTGTGATATATTCTTCACCCATTAAACTTTGCTGCTGACCCAGTGCTTTAAGTACATATTCACACCAGTTGAGATCACTAATATCTTACACATTTGCAAAGTTCTTGATCAGATATGTGTTGACATACCAGTGGAGTGCTCTCTACAAACATGGTTGTTATCAGTATGGCAAGATGACGTTTAAACCATTCTCCGCCATCCTTGCAAGCTAGCATTGCTTTACACAACTGTTGTGGTGTTATATTCAGATAATTTCTGCCTAATACTGTCTTCCAGTCCTCAAGTAATGTATTATTTTCTTCTCCTTTAGTTCTTCTCTCAATTTTGATACTTCCCTGAGGAAACCCCAGTGTTTGGGCTACATCCTTCTCTGTAATGTGCAGTTCCATTTCATCCTTCACATGTAAACAACAACTGCGTGGGTCAAAGTTGTTTAGAAGTCACCATTCCATTTTGCTAAGGATTTTTGAAATTTGTTGATCACGTATGTGCTCAAAACCCATTTCTTTTACACTTTGCCATTGTGCATCATTGAATTGCTTAAAAGCTTTGGTCAGTTGGTATGGCGTTGTCCTTGTTGACAAGGATGGGTAAGTAACAACATTGTATGTTTTATCTGTTGTAGTGTTTGTGTTTGTTTCCTGAACAGGTTGGCTTTCTTCATGTTCGGATCCCTCCATGAATTCATCGTGTTCAGGTTGGGATTCTTCTTGTTCAGATTCTTCAGGTTGGGGTTCTTTTTGTTCAGATTCTTACGATTGGAGTTCTTCTTGTTCAGATTCTTCCGGTTGAGATGTACTAGTTGGTTGTTCACTTTCTGCCAAGTCATAATCAAGTGAGTCATGAACTAATACTTGTTGCTTTGATTTCTTTGCTTGTCGTTTAGACTTTCTTGTCCCTTCTGGTATCTCTTTTTCCTTGTGAGAGTTAGTTTTTCAAATAGAAACTATTACTTTCACGTATAAACTAAGGTAATTACAAAGGTAGGTTTGTAATATTAGGTGCATTTATATTGACTTCTAGATGCATCAGTAAGTTATTGCAGAATTATTTTTAAATGATAATTAAGGCAGGCAATTCTAATTGCAAAAATATGAAACATAATATGCATACATAGCGTAAAATAATTGCAAACTACATTTTGCATTAATGTTACATGCACATAATTTTTCAAATGTTTAACTCGGTGTAATATAATCACTCTCAAAGTTAAGTATGATTGTTCTATATTAAGACATATGTATATGTAATTGCCTACTTAGTATTGTCATTTTAGGTGCACTTATGTTTAAAACTAAATGCAACAATACATCAAAATTGTTTCAGAATACTTATTAACTAACAGAATAGACACGCAACTCTAAGTGCACAAAATTAGCGGATTACTTGCACATATAGGTTAAAATACTTGCATGAATAGGTATCCAAATGTGCGATAGACATTTCGAGTGCAGTAAACACAAATGCATGCATATACGTTAACTACTTTGACACTTTTTCCAGCTTGATTGTTTCAGAATATTATTATTTGTTAGCATGCAAAGTGATCAATTGGTTTACATGTTGCTTAGGATTTTGGATACGGCAAAATATTGTATTCTCTTCGCGATTTGTCGAAAATACTTGCACATTGTAGCATTATAGCAAATATTATCAGTAAAATGCAAAAGAAACAATAAATATAATTTTTTTTTTACCTCTTTTAGTTCATAATTGTAAGTTCATAATGTCAGAGTCTGTGTTCATAATTTTATAACTTACATTCATAATTCCATAACTGTACATTCATAATCCCATAACTGTACATTCGTAATGGCACAAACGAATAACGCCGTTAACGCCGAGACAAAATCAACATTTTTTTTTAAACTTAAATAACACGTTTTCCCTGAAAACAACGTCGTTTTGGACTCGTGTCCACAATGTATTGTGGACACGGATCCAGGGCATAATTTGCGTGCATGGTTTTGTGGATGGGCTTATGTTTTAATAATAATAATAATTTTTACAATAAAATCATTTTACATTTTAAATAGGGAAAATGTCACTTTTTCCCCTGAGTTATATACTTATAGCACTCCCCCCCCCCCCCCGCCCCCCCCCCCCTCTCAATTATTTAGGTAAGCACATTAGCCCCTTCAATTATTCTAAAAGTGGTGGTTTTCCCCCTAATATATTAAATTGACATTTATACCCTTAAAATAAACATTTTATTTATTTTACTTCTCCAACAAATTATTGCGTATACGTAGGGATGACCATGATTCAGTTCGAACTGAATCGGACACTATAGCAATCGAATTAAAAGTTTCCGGTTACTATTCAGATCTAGAACCCAATATTTGGATTTCAATTTATTAAAATTATGAATCAAAAAAATTGGATCCTGAACCGTGAACCGGCGATTCCGGACCCGATTCACGATTTTGAACCGTTTTTATTTTAAAATTTTATTTTTATTTTAAAAATAGTCTAAATTCAACAATAAATGTATTTTATTTTTTCAGTTTGGAACATGAACCGTCCGTTCCGGGATTTTAATAAACTCTAAATATCGAGTTTCAATTCTAAATTGTAATTGGAATATTTCAGTTTGGTTGCTATAGTGTTTATTTGGTTTGAACCAAATTATGGTCATAATTTGTTGGGGAAGAAAAATAAATAAAATATTTATTTTAAAGGTAAATATGTCCATTTAACATTTTAGGGGGAAAAACAGCCACTTGAATAATTGAGGGGGAAAAAGTGCTATAAGTATATAACTCAGGGGGAAAAAGTGTCATTTTCCCTTTTAAATATTTAAAATTATTTTCAATAATAGTGAAATAAAAAATATATATATTGCAATACGCATATGTAAATAAAAATAATACACTTCTAAATATAAATAGTGACTCAAATTTTAGAAGCATCTATCAAAATTAAGATTTCATACTTTTTATCCTAATAAATTTGAACTTAAAATAAGAACAAATTGCACTTTTGGTCCTGTGACTATTAGGGTACTGACAATTTGAGTACGTGACTTTCAAAACTCTCAATTTAAACCTTTAACTACGCAATTATTAGCAGATTTGGTCCTTCCGGCCAAATTGCCGACCAATTTTGGCCGAAAAAATGTAATTCTTTTAAAATTATTTATTTATAAGGACAAAATCGTCATTTAATGTCATTTCTCCTTCTTCCTCATCGTTATTCCTATTTACAGAGCTGGAGTTGTCAACTCTTGCGAGTAGGTTGACTGTAGTTACTGGTTGGGGTCTCTTGTCAGCAATCTTACCTAAACTTAGCTCTTCCATCTTTCCTAATTTTTCATTTTTCAGTTTCTCCTGCAAAATTTGTTCAACGGATAACCCCCATTCATCTTCTAAAATTCGATTAATAAAGATATCAGAGAAGAAGCAAAACGAACACGGGCACGTACCATTAACGTCATGTGTTCTAAACTACGGAGAATATTTTAATCATAGGAAGTAATTGACAGTTCACATTACATCGCCATAGTAATCTGTAAAAGATTGATGCTGGAGAGTACATAAGACAGGAATCTATAAATGTTGTGCGCAATATTTACTTGAAGTTAATGAACAAAAGGGGAGAAAGAGAGACAAATTAGAGATACAATAATATGTTTGTTGAATGGAAGCATATATCCCCGCCAGCCGGCCGGCCGCTTTGATTTAGCAGGAGGCAGGAGGAGCTCTGTAATATGCCGGAAGAGTCGCCGGGAAGAACATCTGCCTAACTCCTTCTGCCTTGATGATGGGGAGGATGATGGCCGATGCACTCTGTAAATATTTCATTTTCATCACACAGGTTAAAATCCAAGGAAAGTGGGGAAAGAAAGAAAGAAAGAAAGAATGAGAGATTGAAATACGAGGGCGCACCGAAATTAATCTTGCTCCGATCCACATGCGTTTCGGCGAAATGGGGATTTGCTTTTCAGCAGACGCAAGAAGAAGGAGAAATGACGTTAAATGACCATTTTGCCCTTATAAATAAATAATTTTAAAAGAATTATATTTTTTCGGCCAAAATTGGCCGACAGGACCAAATCTGCTAATAATTGCGTAGTTAAAGGTTTAAATTGAGAGTTTTGAAAGTCACGTACTCAAATTGTCAGTACCCTAATAGTCACAGAACCAAAAATGCAATTTGTTCCTTAAAATAACATAATATACGCATACCCTTAAATGTTATTTTACATATAATCAGCTAATACTAAACCGCTGATTTACCAAACACATTTTTACAATTAGCTAATACTATCAACGGGTCAAATAAGTTATTAACTATCAGCTAACTCGATCAGTTACCAGCTACTAGCTATCAGCCATTTACCAAACATCCCATTTATACGCAGAAAACAAATATCTAGCCTCTTTATTCAATTGAATTCAGGGAAGAGAACAAATAAGAAATGGGAAACCTCAAAAAATTGTGCAAGGAATAAAGATTTTGAGGTCAGAAGTCTTGGTCATGAATATAAACTTCGTAATTACGGAGTATTAATTTAATTGGTGATGAATATAAACTTCGTAATTACGGAGTATTAATTTAATTGGTGAAACATTGACTGTATTGGAATATATAATAGATCCATTTGTAAGACATTATTACCTGAAGAAAATGAACGAGCTAGAAGATGGAAGCGAGTCTGGACTCGGCAGTTACTGGGCCGAGTTGACTCAGGTGTGCCTCGTTAACATCCTCTCGCGCCTCACCTTGGAGGAGCGATGGAGAGGCCCCATGTTGGTCTGCAAGCCTTGGCTGAACGCATGCAAGGACCCTTCCCTCAACTCAGTTATCGACCTCGAAAGCCACTTCGGCTCCGCCACCGAATTGCCTCGCCATTGGACTCCCGAGTTCGAGCGTAGAATCGACTCCATGCTCCGATCCGTCGCTCTCTGGAGCGATGGCTCATTGAAGGAAATCCGCCTCAGACACTGCTCCGATCGTTCCCTCTCCTTGGTCGCTCAAAGGTGTGGAATCAATTTATACAAACACTTTTTTTTTTTTAGATTTCTTTTACACTATACCATGTGTATGCGTGTGTTAGTTACTCTTTGAATCATGGTTCTACGAAGCAATTGGAGTTTAGTAAAAGTAGTAGTCATGGATTTCAGATAAACTCAGCAACAAATTCTTCTTTTTTAAAATTTTATGGATAATCTTAATGAAATTTTATCTAATTGAGTAGAAAATTTCTGATAGCTGGAATCAGCTGAAAGCATGGATAATTGAATGAATTTCCTCGTTTATATGCAATGGTGACAGAAAATTCTTGTTATAGATATCAGATGCCATGTTTTGGAATTTCATTTTACCTGCTGTATACTCCACTTTTTGCATTAGATATTTAGATGGTAACTTGGTAAGTCTGAATCCCCATCCCCAGTTATTTCAATATGAAGTCTGCTGTTATGCTTCTGGCAGCCTTTGCAATGACATTGTTTCATAGAATAGGATTTTGGTAGAGTTTGAATCATAATTTTTTTTCCTCTATTCAGGTTGAGATGTTGGGTACTATCAATTATAGTGTACGTATTGGTAGTACTTGGCATTGTTTCATATAGTTTTTATGGGGCTTGCTTGAATGAGTTGAATCAGAATTTTTTACTGTGGTCAGGTTGATGCATTGAGTATTATTTATCTGTTCATATTGGTAATTCTTATCATTTACTGCCAACTCCTTGTATGAGCCTTTCTAATATGTCATAGAACATAGCAATTTTGTGAAGCAGGTGATAACCAGGTGTAAAATTTCTTTACCACTGCCTACATTTTGATATTTACAATACTATTTGTTTGTGCTTTGATTTTATTTTTTTCAAAGATTATTCTATGCATGGCTACTAATTTATTGATCTTACTATTATATTGCTACAGTTGTGCAAACCTTCAGGTTCTCTCTATTCGGAGTTGCGCTCATGTTACTGATCAAGTCATGGCTAAAATAGCCTCAGGGTGCCCGTTACTTCGGGAAGTTGATATCAGCTACTGCTATGAAATATCTCACGAGTCTTTGGCGCTAATAGGAAGGAATTGTACCAATCTACAAGTTCTGAGGAGAAGCCTGATGAATTGGTTGGATCCTTCCCAACATGCCCGCGTTGTCCCCAAGGAGTATCTAAATGCATGCCCTCAAGATGGGGATTCAGAAGCTGCTGCAATTGCAAAGTACATGCCTCATCTCGTAACGCTTGAACTTCAGTTCTCCAAGCTCACGGCAAAAGGTTTAGACATGATATCTCAAGGCTGCCCAAACCTCGAGGATCTCGATCTTTCTGGATGTGCAAATCTGACTAGTAGGGATATTATCAAGGCCTCTTGTCATCTGAAAAAGATGAAGAGTCTCAAGAAGCCAAACTTCTACATTCCTAGAGCAGTCTTCAACGCCGCCGAGAGGTATGGCCATTGGCAACTTTATGATGAGCGATTCCAAACAGATGTTTTTCGGATTTGACATACTGGGAACTGGGAAGTGGTTACACAAATAGTAGATATCTATGACTAAAAATAATTCCTTCATTGAAAATGTTGTGCTTTATATTTGAAGCCTGTTTGTAGAGATATTACATGTGCTACAGTTTTTAATTGTGTATTAATTAAGGTAAATACTAAATATGAACAATAATTGCATCTTATATTATTCATCCACTGGGAATAATTGTTCTGCTTTGTATCAACTGAAGTCTTTCTGCACATATTTTTCAGATGGCATTTTAAGCTTGTCAAAACCTCAGTCAGTAAAAGGTAGAATGAAACAGAAACTCTAGTATAAAGCGCTAGTCCACGGTAAGAAAATTCAAAATTGCCTGGAGAGTGGTACAATTAACCTTTGCCCCAGGATTTAAAAAAAAAAACACAAAGGAACTATTATCTTTCTACCTTGAATAGTTGAATGAAACAATGGCTTTCTACTAGCTCACTAGAAAAATTTTCCACAGCTTTCATGCTATCATATAACTAGTAATACTATAGCTCTGTCAATAAAATTTAAAAAAAAAAAAAAATGGCCTAACAGTGTGCAGGAAATGTCTCTTCTTGTCATGTGAAGCTTTACTGGAACAAACTGTGACAGGCCTCAACATCAGGTGCCTGTGAATCTATTACCGCTTTGCCAGATGGGCTGGAGTTGACAACACGCATTGCAGCAGAAAATACGTCTTTCTGGTACAAGTCATCACTCACCTTCGTCAGGATCTCCTTGATGACACCAAAGTCTATCCCCCCTGCCAAAACTAGTTTTCCGGTGATGTCACCAAAATTGGCTGGTGCTTTTGGCAAATCCATGGCAAGATCATCTAACAGAACAGCAAATTGCAGGCATCCGGTGCTCAAATCCCTAGAAGAAAAGATCTCCTTAGAAAATAAGTAGCTGAGAAGTTTTGCTACTGGTTCAACACAGGGTGGGCTTTTGTCTAATCCAAGGGCAATGGCTTCCTTTACAACCTCAGGGAAATATTGGGGGGAGTTCAGTTCCATAACACACTGCAAGGCTTCATCCAAAAGCCGAACGCTGAAATATTCATCTAAAAGTGCAACAGTTTTCCTCTTGAGTTCAACTGGGTTATGTTTTTCTGGTGGAGTCTGCACTCTTTCAGTCGCTGGAGAACCAGATGCAGTGGGAGGTTGTCTGGTTGAGACAGGAACTTGGGATGCATCATTAGCTTGTATGGGTGCATTGACCTGACCACCACTACCCTGCGGAAGAAATCTTGGATTTAATGATGGTGATCTGCCAATAAGTGGCGGTTGAGCACGCCCAGCAGGCTCAATGATTGGTCCATTGCGTCTTGGCATTGAACGTGATCTTGGAACTTCCCAGTTGTCAGTATCAAGTCCAGGCATCCCAGGCATCTTCCTTGTCCCTGGCATTCCTGGCATCATCCGATTAATGGGGAAGCCACCAAGACTTGTACTCCCTGGAGCAATACCATGAGGATTCCTAATACTCGCAGTAGCACCGGGACGCAAGCCCAAATTCTTCTCTGCCTCTGAATGAATCTCAGTGATAGTTTTGGCTTTAACCTCTTCACGCCTTGGAACCCAGTGATTTGCACGCAAGTCAAGAACATCACGGATCATGAACTTAAGCCGTGCAGCCAACTTAGGATTTGTGGATAACTCTTTCATTCGGCTAAAATAAATATCATTGATATGTCTCGACTTTTTGTTATCATCAAGCTGTTTACCAATGGTGTTGAAGAACTGACATATAGCTTCAACATTCTCCTCTTCTGGGCAGCTTTTCGGATCCTGCCCTAACAGTTCCTGTTGACATTATAAAACATGCAAGATCAGTCTTGATCATTTGATAGACAACAAAATAGGGATGATGGAAGAGAAAGTTACTAAGGGCACCACATACCTGAACAATGTGATGAACAACTTTTTCAGGAACCATCTTTTGCTTCAAAAGCTCTCCAATAAGACGCATGTTTCCAAGAGTGCGCAATTTGACCAACCTTTCTTTATCTCTGCGTTCCGACTCCTGCTCAGGAGCAGTCATCTGTTGCACCTCTTCCCGCAGCTTGTCAGCACCTTCAAAGGCCTCCTGGCAATTATTCAAGAGCACTCGCTTAAACGTTACTTCTCTTCCGCCAGGTTCATCAGATGGAAATGGAGGCAGCTTCTCATTGAGGTCTGAACACAATTGGGCATACATCTCGCAAAATGTTGGCTCCAGTACAGCCTTGTCAAATATCAAGGTAATAACATCCTGAGGGGATTATGCAATCAAGGAGTTAGATAATGATTGAGCTTTCAGGACAAGAAAGAAAGTTAAAACTACAAAGAACTAATAACAAAAAGAGAAACACATAAAGTAAGAGTAATCCATTAGACAAGTAAAACAGGCATGGGAGAACCTTCAAAATATCGGCACTAGTTATCCCAGCATCTATAAGCTGTCCTTTAAGGATATCAAACTTTTCAGGGGTCAGCTTGTTAAGTATGCTGCAATTATAAAAAAGAAAAGTCAGTATCAGAAAGGGTAAGCGGACACAGTTGTCAAAGCACCAATTTAAGGAAGTCAAAAGAACACCCGCGACCAAATTAGGTGTTCAATAGCATGCGATGTGATAAACAGAATAAAGAAAGATGTGTATTACCCCTTTATGGTTTTCAAAACGCGTTCTTTTTCAGAAACATTGCCCCTTCTGGCAGACCATGGTACCTCGGCTTTGATTAGAGCAGGAGCTGGTCCTCCCTGATTCAAATCAACAGAAAAACGGAGTTCCTCAGAGACCAAACGCAACTATGTATGATAGAGGTATTTGGCAAACTTTATCACCAAACTGGATTTCACGAATGAAAAAAAGGGTGTATATAAAATAGTGCAAACACACTCACACCGTACTAGTAAAACATATTTTATCTTAAGGCATGAAGATAATTTATTAGACAGCACCATTTTAAAGTATGGTTCCATATTAAACAACAGCTTTTAAAGAAAAGCAGTCGAAATTACCAAATGATACAACAATTAAGCAAATTAAAGATGGATTACCCCTTGGTTCGAAGAGATTTGAGCTCTGACAGCCTCTGGGTTGGGTTGATTGTGCCATGATCTTTCTTCTTTTTGCACAGAAAATTGTGCTGACCGGTTCCGCCAATCACGGTTATTAGGTTCAGTATGACGGATTTGGGATTGATTTTGTAACTGCAAAAAAAATATAACCATATTAGATAACAAAAATATAAGTATAAATTGTTCACGCGAATCATTAAATTATAAGTAAAAATGGAAAAATGGACTTCGCTATCACATCTATCATTCACCCACATTGTTTTCTCGATGGGCCCGATTGGCATTTTCACCAGATAGTTCAGATTCAACTTCCCGTTTGGCTTTCAATATTCCCTCAAGGATATCGACCACCTGGTAGAGAACATCAAATGTCAGATGGGCACTAGAATGAAAATTAAAAGCAGGAGTGGTTATGGAGTTCCACTATTAATTTTACAGGGAATCAAACCACTCCCCACTATGCAAAGGTCGATAGAAAAATGTAAATACAATGGTAACAAAGTATACAGCTTACTGGATCCATCATTATATTGTGGACCATGATCCACCTTGCAAGATACACCACCAACATACATGTTCATTTTTAATATAAAGAAGGTTTATTTTTATATATTGAATGTTCATTTTTAATGTACTGAAGGTTCCTTACCTAAAAATGGAACCTTTGGTATATTAAAAATGAATATTTATCAGTGGTCCACATATAATTTGCCTAACTGGATCAATAAGGACTCAAGGGTAAGAATCCTAGCCATATATCCCAAATGGTTATAAAGTAATTGGCCCAGCCTGGTCCACTAGGACCTTTAAATGAGGAAGGGTAATATTCTAATTTCTAACCTTGATGACCATGAGAAGGAAACAATAAATACTCAATATGTGATTCTTACCTCCCTTAGTTGAAGAAGCTGCTCTCGACTATATCGAATGCATTCCCGTGCCTCAAATTGAGAATCTCCAGTCTACAATTATAGAATAGTATTAAACACAACTACATAAGTTGCTCCTAGTAAAAATGGTGCACTGTGCACTTTGCACTACATTGGGCAAAAGCAAAATACTTTGCCACTTTGGCTGTGTTTTTTAATGTACATGTTCATACTTTGCTCAATATAAGATTCCAACTTTAAATGAAAATTTTAGTCTTGAATTTTGATCCCCAATCCACAGACACATTCAATGGAAAGATTCCTACTTTACTGGTAAAATTAATTAATGTAAAAAACATCACATTTAGGACCCCAACCAAAAAGAATCTGCCAATGCATAGTACTGCTCATGTTAGCATATTTGACAAGGCAAACATGAATACAAGGAATAATGAACTTCATGCATACAAGATACCACTAGCCCAAAGTTCAATCTTAAACCAAAAACCCTAATCACATCCGAATTCATGTAATGTAGCCAGATTGACAAAATCTGGTACTAGTATACAAATTTTCTTCGTAAAAATTTGATATAAACCAACAAAACAGACGATTAGGGTTCAGCCAAAACACTTGATTAGATAGAGAAAAGAGTAACGGATCTAGGAAAGCCAATAAAATCACCAACCTTGAAGGAATGGAGAGCAGAAGAGTCGCCATGAGGGCGAAACACAGGGAGATCAAAGCTGGCAGTCGACGGGAAATCAAAGCGAGGCCCAAACACTCTACTTCCTCCTCCCCGGTTCCCACCACCTGGTCTCAAGCTCAAAACCGTCTGCGCAGTCTGCATAGCTCAATGCTTCGCCGTCCAAACAACTCAGTAGCAAGCTCACCGCCGGAACAAAGGGAAGGAATTCAACAAAGCAAGAATCGGAAACCTAGCCGGATATGCGTAGATTTCGTCTACACTGCTAGACGGACACGGGCGTATGTATATATATATATATATATATATAAAGATTACTGTTCCTATCCTACTTGGAGAAGGAATGAGATGAGGGGCGGGGAAATCCGGAAGTGGTTGGGTATGATGTAAGAAGAGAAAAACCCTTTTTTTCAGTGAAAGATATAAATTTTATTTTTGGCATAATTTATGTACTTTTTTTTTTTTTTTTTTTTTTTTTTTCTGAAAATCATACAAATATATACTCCGTAATTACCTTTCAAAAAATATATATATATATATATACTCCGTAATTTTTACCTATCAAATTTAAATATTGTAACTAGTATTTGTCCCGTGCGATGCACGGAAAATATGTTATAAAAATATACTTTATATGCATGAGGTTTATTCATATATAAAATTTTTGTTATTTAATAATTATTCCTATGATAAAATTATGAACATAAATATATTTACAATTAAAATAATATTTAAGGTGAGTGATTACTACAAATCTTAATCTATATTAAAAATTTAGTACATAGTATTTAATATTACAAATTTTTAAGAATTTAGTAAACTACAATAGTAATTGAATTACAATTTTAGAGTCACCACGGATCAAAATTTTTAGATTTTTGAGATTTCTAACTCAGATGTAGCAACATACAATTGACCTTTAAAGACCAAAATTACAATCTCAGTTCGAACATTGATTTTTTCTTCCAAATACTATCGAATTAAGTGTGTAATCAATAAAAGATGAGAACTAATAATTCGAGAATATAATCTTAATGTTACTAAGCCTACTTCACGTCAATTAAGTTGGAGAGTGTTGTTGGATAGTATCCGATGAATCCACGAATAACGCATCTTTGTCTCTGTAGTCCTCAATATGCACATTAACAATCTTAAATATTAGGCCGCCTAGCTATGCCATATATTAATTTCAAACTTATGAACGTTGGGGTTGCATGCATTAAAAAGTATATTTTAAATATACTAAGGGTACATTATATATGTATGTAAGGTACTTTCAATATAAAAATAATGTATTTTTAATATATTAAAAATGTATTTGATATTCATGATCCATACAATTATGTGGACCATCGTTCACACAATAATTTGCCAGAAGAAATTGAAATATAAATAAATAAATAAATAAATATATATATATATATATATATATATATATATATATATATATATATATATATATTAGAAAATGTAAGTGGAAATTATTATCGTTATTATTATTGCAATTATTATTATTATTATTATTATTGTTATTATAATTAACAATATTATTATGGTATTGTGAAAATTAAATGTTGATTATCACCATTTAATTTTCACAAGACCATATGGCTTTATTATATATAGGATTAATACGGAGTATAAAACGCCCCGCACTTCGTTCGTCTATTTTTTATTTTTAAAAAAATTATTTAAAATTTTTAATAATTTTTTAAAGAATAATAATAATTAGAGTTAATTACCGAAATAGTCCATTGATTATAGCGAAATTACCAATTTGGTCATTGACTATTTTTTTTTGACCAATTAAGTCCCTCAACTTTAAAAATCTTAACTAATTTGATCCTCCGTTTGTGTGACCGTTAGTTAACCATTAACTTGGGACCAAATTGGTAATTCGCTATAAGTAAGGGATCATTGTGGTAATTAATTTTAAGGGTGGACAATTCAGTTTAGTTTTCTCGAACCGAACCGTACCAAACAAGTTAGATTCGGTAATATACCGAACAACCGAACGGTAATAGATTCTTGTATACCGAATGGCTCGATAAAAACTCGAACCGAGTTGAATTGTTCGATAAAAACCGAATCGAACCTGGTAGGATATATCCCGACCGACATGAGTTGGGCTTTTCTTGTTGTTTGGGCAGGCTCTTTAGGTCGGGCATCGTTTAGCCGAAGCGGTCGGACCCGACCGCTGGACTTCCAGACCGATATCTTTTCCCGGTCAACGTGCCTTTACCTTATGAAGAGACGAAGAAGATGAAAAGAGGCACGTGGCAATGTTACGCGTTGACAGAGAGGGCTCGCCGGGTGAAGACGCGTGGAGGCTACGTGGGTCACATGCCGGTAGGCCGGAAGTTTGTCTCCGGCCAAAGGCTATAAGTACCTGCGGCGGCTACGGTGAGGGGGACTTTTGGACGATCAATAGGTTATTTACAGAGCTGCCCGACCGCAGTCAGTCGGCCCTCGGAATAACCATCTAGATTGCACTAGGACCACTTTTGATCAATAAAATTCCCCTTTACTATTATTTTTATTCTCATTCAGTACTTTGACCGCATTACGTGGATATTTGTACTATCATTTTGGCGCCATCTATGGGGACCCGGGTACGAAAAGTTATCGTAGACGAGTACCAGATTCCCGATCATCACCATGTTTCCGTTCATATACCAAGCACCGGAGGATGAGGAAGCAAGTTCATCCGACCACGCTTACACTCAGCACCAAGGTCAAACAGTTGACCTCAATCTCAACCTTTCGCCTCCTCGATTGGCAGCTCCCAACCCGGTCAATTATATTCAACCGACATATCCAACGCCCGGTCAGCAGTATCCGTTCCCGGCGAGTTATCCATATCCAGTTCCACCTCCTCAATATGGATGTTGGCCCGGAACTCCAATGTATTATCCACCGGCCGGTTACTCGCCATACATGCCTGCGTACACGGCTCCAGCTTCCGCTCCCCCGAATTACCCGACCATGCCGATCGAGCCCGAGCTTCAGCCAGCTCCCCGGGCTAGGCGCTCGGCTCGCTCGAGGTTGGGGTTGAAGGGGGCCGAGGTCATGGAGGAACCACGGCAGGAAATACATTATCAGGCGGCTGAAGAGGCCGAGTTAGAAGCCAATCGAGCGAGTGCATGTGAGCGACTCCGACCAGTAATGAGGCAAAGATTGGGACCGCAGGATCCAAATAGGCGCTCGGTTGATTCTCCCATGCGAGCAACCAGTCAATCGGGGTCATCAAGACATAGTGGGGCTCAAGCACATCGTCGTCGCCGGGCTCGGGAACCAGCCCGCACGGTCGAGCAAGACGAAACCCGAGGAATGTTAAACGATCTTCGAGCAGAATTCACTCGCTAGCAGAATGAGCATGCCTCAAGGCCCCCTCCCGATCATACCACTTCATTATTGCGGACACCCTTCACGGCGGGGATCATGGCTCAACCCTACCCGCTTGATTTGCGAATCCCTGGAAACAAAGAATATGACGGCCGGACAGACCCGGAGGTACACATCAACACTTACTATGGCAATATGTTGATGATGGGCGTGACTGACGCTATGATGTGCCGGGCTTTTTATTCGACGCTTTCTGGTCAGGCGGCCGAGTGGTTCAGAACACTGCAACCGGGGTCTATTTCTGATTTTGCTAGTTTGGCGACGAAGTTTACCCGAAAGTTTGTCACTTCCAAAGTTGTCCGGAAGCCTTACATGTACCTCGAGAAGGCTAAACAGTTGGAGGGAGAAAGCTTGACCGATTTCCTAGTCAAGTGGAAAGCGGCGGTCGGAGAGGTCGAGCCTATGGACGACCTAACAGCCATTCACATGCTGCATATTTCTCTCCGGGCGGGTTATTTGTATCATGATTTTATATTCCACCCGCCTACTACCTATGAAGAAGCACTCCGAAGGGTGACAGATTATGCCAATGCTGGAGAGGCAAATGCCGTCAAACGCTCTCAGGAGGTCGGATCTTCCCGAAAAGCTTCCGGTCGATCAGACCATCGATCGGGTGAAGACCATCCCGGACCGCAAGCACGGTCGGGAGATTTCACAGCGTTAAACCGATCGGCTGCGGAAGCCATGCAATATGCCTAATCCTGCAACCTTATTCGTCTACCTCATCTGGGACCGGATGGGCCGGATAAGTCGAAACATTGTGCTTATCATCGGTGTGCTGGGCATGACACGGAGGAATGCACCCATCTGAAACAATTGTTGGAAGACTTGCTCCAATTGGGGAAGTTGGATAAGTGTGTGGGGAAGAGAGAAGAGAGCAAAAAACCATCTGAAAGGAAGGATCACAGACGCTCCCATCGCTCCGATCGATCAAACCAAGACTGGAGAGATCAAGACCGGCGTGATCCCGATCCACCTTCGAGTGGTCGGCAAACCTCAAAGCCGACCATTCATGTTATGTTTGGGGGCTTGGAAGATGCTTCTCAAGCTTGAAATCCTTGCCCGGTCGCGATCGTCAACTCCCGGGAAACCGGTAAGAGGCAAAAGATGAAGCCGATCACCTTTTCTTTGGAAGATCAACCCGAGAGTGGAGACACCGAGATGGAGGCGCTTGTCGTTATGATCGACATCATGGGAGTCGACGTACAAAGGGTGATGCTATACACCAGGAGCAGTGTTAATGTCCTTTATTTGGACGTTTTTGAGAAGCTAAAACTTGACCGCCGGAGCTGATGCCGGTCGGTGTACCACTGTCAGGATTCACCGGGGCTACCATTCGTCCTGAAGGAAAAATCGTCCTCCCGGTTGAGCTAGGAACTCCGCCCAAGTCAGTAAAGACGGAGATGGAATTTGTGGCCGTGAATCTTCACTGCGTCCACAACGTCATTCTAGGCCGCCCGGCCATTATGAAGGTTGGGGGAATTATATCTATGCCTCACCTGTGCATGAAGTTTCCCACCCCGGCTGGGGTTTGATTTCTCCGCGGTGACGTTCAGTCGGCCAGAAAATGCTATACCCGAGCAGTGAATCGGCGTGATGCGGGTTCTTCCCGTGTAAACACAATCATCCGGGAGGCTGTTAAGGACCGGAAAGAACAGCCCGAGCCATCTGAAGAGATAGAGGAGGTTCCTTTGTCGGAAGATCGGCCGGAGAGAAAGATAAAGATCGGTTGGGCCCTTACCACTGAACTGCGATTGGAAGTGTTAGCAATCCTCCGGGAATTTGCTGATATATTTGCATGGGGACCCGATGATATGTCCGGGATTGATCGAACGGTTATTTGCCATCGGTTGGCTGTAGACCCTGCAGCTAAACCGATTGTTTAGAAGACCCGGTATTTGTCCTCCGATCGCGGAGAGTTCGTTCGAGAAGAGGTGAAGAAGATGGCTGCGGTCGGGTACATTCACCCGGTCACGTATCCCGAGTGGGTGTCCAATATAGTGTTGGTCCCTAAGCCTCCATCCTGGAGAATGTGCATCGACTTCACCGACCTAAATAAAGCATGCCCGTTGGATCCTTATCCCCTGCCGAGTATTCATCAGATGGTCGATGAAACGGCCAGGGCCGAGTTGATGAGCTTCATGGACGCTTTCAAAGGTTATCATCAGATTATGATGAGCCACAAAGATGAGAGCAAAACGGCGTTTGCCACGGCTGATGGTTTATATTGCTACCGGGTCATGTCGTTCGGTCTACGCAATGCAGGAGCAACGTATCAACGCATGGTCAACATGCTCTTTGAGGACCTGCTAGGCCGGACGATGGAAGCTTACATTGATGATATGCTGGTGAAGAGTCGGGACCGAGCGGACCACACCCGGGACCTCCGACAGTGCTTTCAGATCATGCGAACATACCAACTTTGTTTGAACCCGACGAAATGTACATTTGCTGTGCAGACCGGGAAGTTTCTCGGTTATATGATGACGAAGATGGGGATTGAGCTAAATCCCGCCAAAGTTAAAGCAATCGTCGACATGGAACCACCCACAACCGTCTGGGAAGTCCAACAATTGACCGGGAGACTGGCAGCCTTGAGCAGATTCCTCTCGAAATTGGCCGAGCGCGCTTTACCGTTCTTCAAAGTGCTCTGAAAGGTCAATGGGTTTGTGTGGGATGAGGAATGTCGACTGGTTTTTAATGAGCTGAAAGAGTATTTGATGTCCCCGATCGTGCTGTCTAAGCCCGAACCCGGAGAAGAACTTGATGTTTATTTGGCCGTGTCCAATCGAGCTGTAAGCGCGGTGTTGTGCCGGACAGATATGGAGGGGGTGCAGCGACCGGTATACTATGTGAGCCACGCTCTCCATGGTCCCGAGCTCTGTTACTCCCGATTAGAAAAGGTTGTCTATGCCTTATACAAAGCGGCGAATAAGTTGGTTCCCTATTTTCAAGGACGAGCTATACGTGTTTTGACAGACCAACCGGTCGGTGCAGTCCTCCGCACCGCTTCATCATCCGGGCGCTTACTCAAATGGGCGTTAATGTTGACACAATATGCGATAGACTACCGACCACGCCCTGTGATCAAAGGCCAGGCTTTGGCCATTTTTTAGTTGAGTGCACCGCTTGGGATACCCAACCTCCGATTGAAGAAGATCCTATGGCCGCTTGGTGGTCATTGGCTACTGATGGTTCAAGTAGCAAGAAGGGAGCGGGCGGAGGCATTGTGATCACTAGCCCGGAGGGATTTAAGGTGTACTATGCCTTGATGTATCAATTTTCCCCGACCAATAACGATGCAGAGTATGAAGCTTTTGTCAACGGATTACAGTGCGCTAGGGATTTGGGGGCTGAATATATCCGGGCACAGACCGACTCAGCATTGGTGGTCGGGCAGGTCCTCGGCGATTACGAGATCAATGGAGAACAGCTGCAAGCTTATCGCGACTTAGCAATGGAGAAATTAAATTTCTTCCGGGCGTATACTGTCCGTCATGTTCCCCGGCTGGATAGTGCTGATGCAGACATCCTGTCGAAGCTAGCGCAAGACGCACCCGAGCATATGTCCAAGATTGCTCGAATTTTAGTGATCCCGAAGCACAGTATTCACCGCTTACCGGTCGCCCCAATTCAACCGGCTGAGGAGACATGGATCTCCGATTTGATGGAGTACCTGCAGCATGACCGGTTGCCGGATGATCCACAACGGGCGCGAAAGGAGAAATTGAGAGCACCAAGATTTCAGGTGCAAGATGACCGGTTGTACAGGCGGTCGTATGGGGGTCCTTTGCAGAGATGTTTGAATTCCTTTGAAGCTGACTTAGTTATGAATGAGTTGCACTCAGGCATATGCTCGTCACATCAAGGAGGCCGATCGCTTGCCCGGCGTATCATGGTGATCGGGTATTACTGGCCGTCCATCCAGCTTGATTGTGAAAAGTTTGCTAAGAGTTGTGAAACATGCCAGTTGTACGCCTGGATGCCTGGTCGTCCGGCAACCTTTTATCAACCGGTCACGACCGCCATCCCGTTCGCTCGATGGGGGGTGGATATCTTGGGGCCTTTTCCGCAGCTATCCGGTCGGAGGTGCTTTGTTATAGTGGCGATCGATTACTTCTCGAAGTGGATTGAAGCCGAGCCCTAGCCACGATTACTTCCCAGCAATGCGCCAGATTCTTGTGGCGGAATGTAATTTCTCGGTTTGGTGTCCCCGTTCATTTGATAAGCGATAATGGTCGACAATTTGTGAGTCAATATTTTCAAAACTTTTTGCCAACGATCGGGACGACTTCAATCCGATCATCGATAGCTTACCCGCAGGGGAACGGCCAAGTAGAAAATGCCAACCGAACTATCTTAGAAGGACTGAAGAAGAAGTTGCACTCGTCTGGTCGTAGTTGGGCCGAAGAACTCTCATATGTGCTCTGGACATACCGCACGACCCCTAGCGAGGCAACATTGGAAACACCGTTTGCTCTTGTCTATGGTGCTGAGGCGCGTTTACCAATCGAGGCATGGATCCCGATCGCTAGAGAACGGTCGTTCAATGCAGAAGAGAATGAACATTCTATGGTCGTGGATCTAGATCGTGTAGAAGAGAAGAGAGAAACTGCGGCCAGACGTATGGCCGAATATCAAAAGAGGGTGAAAAGCACTAAAGACGTATGGGTTCACCCTAGATACTTCCAGGTTGGAGATTACGTGCTACGACGACGGGAAGCAAGTCAACCCCTGGAAGGAGGAAAGTTAGCTCAGAATTGGGAAGGGCCATATGTAGTCACAACGGTCATTCGCCCGGGCACCTACCGATTGGAAACAACGATCGGACGAGTAATCGATGACACTTGAAATTCTGAAATTTTGGTTTTGTTTCGACATTAATGTCGTCTTGTAATTTCGGATGGGGTGGGGGCTCCACCTGCGAGTGGACACGCCCATCTTTTGTTGCATATGTACAATGTGTATTGGTATGTCCGTCTGCAAACGGAAATAAAGTTTGTATGGTCGATCGATGATTGCTCGCTCGTCTGTGCACGGCGGCTCGATCGACTGTTAAAGTATGTAAATAGCAAGTAGTTTGCTTAAATTTCAAGTTATTCCGATCGTGACTTCTTCTGATCAAGATTCGGCATCAACAATCCAGTCGGGCGATATCCCGGTCGGGCGAAAGCCCAACGACCACAATGTCGCTAAAACTTGCCTGAGTATACCGGGATTAAAAAGTTCGGTTATAGCCGATATAGGTTCACCTCTCCCTCGGGACCGACCGATAGGGGTAAAAGCCTTATGGATTTTAACATCCTCTACATTTCATTTGGGCGGATTCTAGCGTCCGGAGTAAAACGCTCATCTTCGGCGGACGGTCGTGTCACGCCATCGCTCGGGAGAACAGGCCACCCGGGAGAGCATAGCCCGATCAACCTTCCTTAACTACTCTCGCACTCATTCGTTCCTCATGTGTTCGACAGTGGGGGCTAAGGAGAGTTATTAGGTTGATCGCAAAAAGAACGATCGAGTGATCGTAAAAATTAAAACGTTCATATCGAACGAAGTATAGGAGAAACAAATAATTTTTTCAAAAGACGAAGTATAAGATAAGCAAAAAAGTTCGTTCATTCATAATTCAAAAGTTGCCCAACACAAACGGGACCGGGCTCCCGGTCAAATGAAGTTCAACAAAAAAGAGATATACAAGACCGGTCGGAATCTACACGACCTTTCCTACGTCCTTCTCGCCTGCGTTCGCACTGGTCTCGGCTAGGGCGTCCGGGGCAGATGTTTCGGTGAACGGCATCAGGCCGGGGTCAGGAACCTCGTCCAGGAGAGTGGTCAGCACGACCTTTAGGTCGTCGCCATCGAAGACCTCCTCCATGATGGACCAGGTCTCCTCCCGCATGGCCCGTTGGCCGGATTTGTAAGCCCAGTGGCCGATCGACCACACCTTGTCCTCCCCGAGCTTGTTCTTCATCAGCTCGCAGAAAAACTTATCGGCCGTAGGCTCGTCCTGGCATAGGAACTTGGCCAAGCTTCCAAGATTGCCCAACCGGGTCTTCAGCTCGTCGGCCTCCCTCAGCGCAACCCGGGCGGCCTTCTCTGCGATCGCTTGAGCCTCCTTGGCCGTTTTCAGCTCTTCTTAGAGCTCGGCGTTCTCGGTCTTACGCTGCTCGGCGACTTTCTTTAGAGCTTCGACCTCATTGGCCAGCAGCGCCCGGTATTGAAGGCTCTGGAGCGCTCGGGAGACCTGCAAAGTTAGCCGGTTAGCTCGAATGAATAAAGTTGTAGAAATAAAACCAAAGGAAATAGAAAGACAAACCTCGATCAGGTCTTGGGCGCCACGCTCAGCTATCTGTGCCGGCGTCCACTTGCTTCTGTCTTCCCCGACCGGCCATAGATTGGTCAGTCGGGTGATGAGATCTTGTTCCCCGCTCGTCATGACCCCGGTCGGAGGCTCTTGCTTGCGACGGCACTTAAGGGCGCCCGCGTCTTCGATCTCCTTCTCAGACGCCGGCTCTTTGCCTTTGCGCCCGGCAACTCGAGGGGCCATCACATCAGTCGTGGTGTTGCCCGTCACCACAGTAGATGCACCGACCGGTTGGGCGGTCGGGACGTCGGCGTCAGCGACCTTCTGCCCGGCCGATATCTCGGCCTCAGCTTTCTTCTTTCCGAGCGTCAGTTTAGCTCGGGGGGATCGCGGGGTGCTGGTAGTCGGAAATCGAATCATCTCTGCAAACAAAAACACAAGGTTAAAACAACAATAATCAATCGGAAAGAAAGAGTCAGGAAAGTGTGGTTAATGTTAGACCTTCGTCGGTTGGCTCGACTTGTGGCGTCGCTACGGCGATTGATACACCCGTCGACCGAGGTTTGTACTTTTCTTCCTGAT